GTCGTACCGCGTGCGCTGCTAAATATAACCAAATAAATTAATGCAACAATAAGAAACGGTGTGAAAATCTGCGATATCCAATACTTTTTCCTATTGCCATCGAGCAAACGGAGGCGGTTGATGCCCAACAATAATTCCATGTAAATTAGGTACTTCAATCGATTAGCAAGGTTAAACTCCTTTACGTAATTGTCACATTTTGCAGGCATTGCAATAGGTGTAACTTTCTTTACATTCGTTCTGACCGCCATCTAACTGCACAGAACTACTAGTCCCGCATTGCCAGCTGAAACTGAAGTAAATCGACTAATAATTTACATCAACAAGCACTTAGTCAAATTATATTAATGACTGATATAAATCAAATTACATAAATTAGAATTTGATTGGATAGCTTATCGTATCACCAGTCACTACTAGAATATATCAAATATTTATTAGAGCTTCAATAGTCCGGTTCCATGTAGTCCGGTTCTATGGGTAAATAAAGTCAAATACTTAGGTGTCGTCTTCGACTCCCCAACTCAAATTCAGAGGCAAAACCATATTGGGCTCAAACAGTCACCCTGGAAAATACCCCGTCGTATCCTTATCCGGTATTCCGCAGCCGTCATCCGCTCGCCTCGATGACAAAGGATCGTACTCCATTGCCCCATACAGTGCTCGAGGAAGTCTCTTACTGTACAGTCTACTTTATACAGTTCGAGGACCCTCTTTAGCCATGTATGGGGCACCGAGTCGAATGCCTTTTTGTAGTCTATCCAGGCGGCGGAGAAGTTCCGACGGTTGCGTTTAACCGTTTTGCCAATGACCACGTCGATGAGAAGCGGTTCCTTGGTTCCACGACCACCGCCCCGACATCCATTCTGAGCATGAGACATAATCCGATTCATATGAATATGCCAGGTGATTCTCATGCTCAGAATAGATGTCAGTGTCTTATAGATGGTGGGTAGACACGTAATGGGGCGGTACTTACTCGGGTCTGTGGTAACTTGATCTTTAGGAACTAAATGAGTGACCCCAGTAGTAAAGAGGCTCGGGAGCGACCTCTGATCGAGAGCTTCTTGGAACTGTCGGGCGAGCACAGCATGACACACCACGAACCCCTTCAGCCAGTAGTGATGCAGCCCGTCGAGTCCCGGACTTTTCCAGTTCGGGGCTCTACGGACTGCCTCAGATACGTCGTCTGTCTGTGTTATGACGACGGGGTCCATGGGTGTAATATCTGCACATTGGCTCACCACGACTTGCGTCCAAGGGCCCTCGCTGTGGTCTACGGGCTCTGACCACAGGCTGCGCCAGAAGGCGACAACGTCAGCCTGGTCCGGTCCTTAGCCACTCTACACACTAGCTCTTTTGGTCACTCTGGAAAAGGCGATTCTGGCTAAACCGCGCCGTCCTCTCGGTATATCTCTGAATCCGCTTCCCCCAAGCAGCGATCCTCTGCTTCAGGTCATCTATGCGCTCCGTTAGTTTTTGCGTAATATCGGGCTGGGACAAGTTGATATTGGTCCCAGCGAACGCCATCCTAACGGTACGCACAATTCTGGGCCTATTATTGCCCGACCTGAAGCTTATCAGCCTGCCGATGATGGCCCTTACCTTTGCGATACGGTCCTCAATTCTTCTTCTCCATTCTGGGATAGTGCTACCTGGTCTGGTAGCACGTCCAGTCTTGGGAAGTTTGGCGCCCACGATTCGGCATACTGCCAGTGCAGAGCCAAAGAGAATTGAGTCCGTATCGCAAAGATCCCGGCTAGCTATTATTATTATTATTATATTATAGAATTGCAAGTGATTAGCACGAAAGTAGCTCACGTGTTAGGATGTTACAAGCGTACAAAAAACAACGTACAAAAAAAATTACACTAAAACTTTTAAAAAATATATTATGACGCTTTCGTAAAAATGTTTGTGAAAGACTACAGCCAGTGTTCGCCTTATTGTTTGCCGAGCTCCGCGTTGTCTGACTAAATGGAATGCAATATCCGACATTGCTATATTAAAAAAACCGACTAAGTGCAAGTCGAACTCGCCCACGAAGGGTTCCGTACCATTATATATAAAAAGGCGAAAAAATCATGTCTTTTTTATGGGAGCCCCACTGAAATATTTTTAATCTGTTTTTTAAGTATTTGTTCTTACAGCGGTACTTACTGTGAAAATTTCAATTGTCTAACTATCGCGGTCACTATCAACTATTAGCCAGGGACACACGGTCTTAGTAATAGGGACCTTATTATCGATTAATTATTATTATTATAATATATGACCGTTTTACCCTTTGGGTACGGAATCCTAAAAACCACGAAGGCATGGAAAATAATGTTTAGTAATAAAATAGAAGAGATGTGTTCAATATTATCCACAGTAAAATCGCCCATAACTGATAGTTAAAAATAAAATAATGCCTGATTTCAATGTATAGAACATTCACATACATGATAAAGATTTATATTGTGAAAATAAACGTGTAGTTAGGGAAAAAATATATAAACCAAAATTTTTTATATTTTAACAATCAGCTGAGTTCTAATTTATAAATATCTTCTTTTTTCACTTTTTTTTCTCAAAGATAAAAGATAGTTGTTTAGTTAAGTTAGTAACGGTTCTGTAGATATTAAATGTTATAGTGTTTTGTTTACCTGTAATTTAAACATTAACGTATTTATTATATTCCCGCAACTCTATGATAGTGGGGGGTCGTCCTACACTGCGATGGCCAGTACGAGGTTGCCACTCGAGAACCTTTCTTCCCCAACGGTTATCGGTTCTACGAGCTATATGGCCGGCCCATCGCCACTTCAGCTTGCTAATCCTCTGAGCTATATCGGTTATCTTAGTTCTACTGCGGATGTCTTCGTTACGAACTATCACGCAGAGAAATACCGAGCATAGCCCGCTCCATAGCTCGCTGAGCGACTTTGAGCTTCCTCATACGGCCAGCAGTGAAGGACCATGTCTCGGTTCCATAGGTGATTAGATTTGTGATTCCCCCCACTAGATGGAGTGACGACCTGTGCAAATGTGCGGGAAGTCGATGGATGCAGGTGGCCCAGGATCGTACTTCATGGCAGTCTGTGGAGGAGGCCTATGTTCAGCAGTGGACTCAAACAGGCTGAAATGATGATGATGATGAACTCTATGATAAAGTTAAACCAGCCTTATTTTAAGTTAATGTTCTGTATGTAGTTTTTTTAATGGGAGGAGGTGGCAAGTGAGCTGGAGGTTCACCTGATGTTAAGTGATAACCGCCCTCGGATATTTTCAACACTCGGAGGATTGCAGATACCTTATAATAAAGTGGGCCCCGGCTACCTCAGTCACCAGCGAAACACAGAAGTATAGTTACTCTTCACGCTGGTCCGCTGCGACAAAAATTATTTGAATCATAAACGCGTAATAGTTATATAGGTGAAAATGAAACAAACGTCACGTTTTACTATAATATTTATACTTGTATGATTAATGTGTGCACAATTAACAAGTAGCCTCTATGTTTAATATTTATTTTTATCTTACTATAATAATAATGGCTTTATACAAGGATTATCGTCATCTATATGTTATATTAAATACTATGGATATATAGTTTTAACAAAAACAATTAATGGAAATATGAATAATCATAAATAAATTAATATAAAAAAGCGCATTATAGCGCTTTTTTATATTACAATTTATGAAATTTATAGACGAGTTCCGTAAAAAAATCCTTTGTAGGTTTTTGTTTATTTACGACAGTTAAGATGATAATTTATTTAAAGTTACTAGCAGTTTTCGGTAATATTTGTTGTATAGAACTCTGCGATCCAATCAAAATAATACATAAAATAACAACATAATAAAGAAAACATAACCAAGAAAATATAAAATCACTCAAATTTGGTTCGCTAAATTATTATTTTTTTTCAATTTTAGGTTCAAAAACATTTTATCAAACTCTTTTTAAATTATATAATGTGATGAAAAAAATAGATTTATGAAGATTTACTTCAAATCACAAGCGATTTTTATTTCAAAAATTTTAAGTCAATGTTCAATTGTACATACATATGGTCACAATTATTACAAATGCTATGCAATAATATTTACAAGTTTAAGAAACAAGTTTATTTATTAACATTATAACAAACAGTCCTAAAAACTGTCCTTAATTCGAGATATTAATCTGGAAGCACACATAAGTATAGATAGATATTTTTGATGATCACCGATCATTAATGGTATTTATATTATTGGAGCCGTATGCTTACAAAAAATGAAAATTATCTAACGGATTATATTCTATTAACATTAAAAAGAGTTGAAAACAATAAAAACTGATCATCTTCATTCTTATAAAGAAGAAACTAAATAAATGAAATTTATATGCATATTATACAAGTAAATATTAATTAATATGTATATTCTATTACGGGATATAAAGAATTTTTAATTTTTAAGTTGCAAAATTCGTAATAAGAAATAAAATACAAAAAAAAAGAATCATTAAGAACAACAATGAAATTAAACTATAAAAAGATGTTACAAACATAGTATTTGATTATAGCATTACAATTTTCTTTTTATTGTCACAAAATTCACGCCAAGCACATTTTCTTGAAAAAATTAATATTGTCAATTCATTAAATTGCTTAAAATAAATAAAAGCAAAAAGTGTTAGGCTACAAACACATAAGTTATGATGAAAAGTAAGATATTATAACATTATAATTTATATGTATACAAAAACTTATATCGTTACTGATATGCCGTTATTTACAAAATAAAAATCGAAAACGAAAAACTATTTTTGGTACCGATTTTATTTATTTTCAATCTAAGACAATTCATAATATAACAAACTTCTAGCTTGCATTTAACTGAGTTCAGTTTAATTCCCATTTTTGGCTACGTTGAATGGTCCTTCATTTTTGTTTTACTAAAACAGATATGTCTTGTTCGTTTATTTTATACACAAATCTAGTACAATGATTGCACCGATCAGTTGTTCAAGTTATTGGTGAACACGACCCTTCAAAACACTTTAGACCCGGCTCGCACGTCCCCCTAAATCCACCACAATCTTCACCGAGTGTTCTTGCACATACTTTGCAGCATCTGAGAACATAATTAGATTTAATTAAGTTTAGCTGTTTGATTAAATTAACTTAAACTTTTGATAATTTCCTTTCCAAAGCAGACCCTAAGTCAGGCACTATAAAGAACCCTTAAAGTAATAAGTAACAAGGTTTTTTTTGTTTCTTACAATATTAATAAATATACACCTCGATTTATAATTTTGAACTTCTAATATAACCTGTGATTTACATGACTAGTGTGCTTTTGATTTTGATCAAAGTCTATATTTTCATAATTTTACGCACCTGCAAGGGTCCCATACCACTATTCCTAGTCCAGGGCAGCCACTTGGTTCAAGAGCTTCGCACTCTCTTGGATTGCAAACACAATCCCATCCTCGTACTGCACTCGCTAGTACCACTACGGCGACCATCGCCAGCCAACTCCTACTTTTATTCATGCTGCTCTTTACATAACCCTGAAAAACGTATTGAAAACTATATTACAAAGAAGTTTATCCGTGTCCCCCCAGTGCACCGCTTCCCATTTTCATTTCTCCTAAACCGCTTCAAATACAGCGAAGTTCCTGAAACAATTTTATTACATTTTAGTGTTCTGGTGTTTTTTGTTCAATGAACGAAGAGAAATTTACGTACATTCAATTTATAATTCATTACAAGAATGTATTCTTCAATATCATTGAAAGAATTGTAATATTTACATATTCATTTTAAAGTTGTATTTACTAGTTTGTGTGCAGCGTTTCAGTTCACATTTTTTTAATTGTATTTTTTCATCTTTACTTATTTTAAACAAAAACAAAATGTCCGAAATGGTATATTTGGTCTTAATAACACATCAAAACAGTAATTTTATAATGAGATTGCACTTATTGAACAGATGCTTTACATGGGTTCAATATAATAGAAAATGTAAACTTAGAGAAGATTAATAGCGAATTTTTTTTTATGTGAAAATGTGTCAAGCGAGCAGGCGGTTCGCCTGATGTTAAATAATATCAATCAAAAAATCTTTATTCAAATAGACGCTTGCGCATTCTTATGAATCGTCAAATTTTACATAAAAATTATACACATAGGTTCGTAAGGTACCACTTTATATTTAATAAATTTCGGAAATTTATATATTTAATAAATTCAGTTACACGTTGTATTTATATATTTTAAACAACCTTAACTTTATCTTCTTTCCGTACATAAATATATAAAGTCGGTATAAATATTTGGCAAGTTAAGCAATCATAAAGCTACAAAGCCCCGTTTAATAATAAATCCACGTGTAATCATGTTCGTTGAGCAAAAGGCAAAGCAAAAGGTCTTTGGCTACACCCTATTCGGCGTTTTGCCGTAGAATATTCATATAAATAAACACAAGTACAATGTAAACATGAAGTATGTGTATGTAACATCGACCTTGCATGTATTAACTTTGCCCTAACTATGCGTTGTGTAGATTAAATTTTCCTAATACTTGATGTTACGGAGAGCCACAACAAAAACTTATTTAGTTTGAAGAGAACTGTAAACAGTTGATTTATCCGAAATTACAAAAGAAAGAACATTGATACATCCGAATATATGTACGAAGTGGCTGTGGAGAAAGTGAAGTACATTTATTTATAAAAAACATCCGAAAACTGTTTTTATTTACTATCTAGGAAAAGAACGGAAAATGACGAAAAGGAAAAGTGGCCAATTTTTTAGCGACAAAAGAGAGAAGAAACAAAGACATTTCAACATGATTGGATTGATACAAGTTCAAAATTTTTTGCTTTATATTTTTTTCTAATGGCTTCATGACATCACATTTTTTTTTAATTCTAATTAAATTTATTCATTACCATGAACTGAGCGACATCATAAAATTACGTCGAAATGACAAGTTCATAGATGGGCCTACTAGAAATAATATCTTCAAAATAAGCCAACATACGGTGACGGTGGTTTGTTGGAGGCTTGTTACATTAAATTTAGGGTTAATTGATCATAATATAAGCTAACCATGACTGGCAAAGATAAACAATCAGCAGTATTTATATTTTGCCTTTCTTGATTTTAAGTACAGAACACGTACTAAAAAATCACATCAGTCTGACCGACTCAAATCTAGGTAAGAGTAACTAACGCACCTATTATTACTTCTAAATTTCTAAGGTATTGAAAATCAGTAAAATTTGAATCAATATTCACACATAATTATTTGGCAACAATTAAATTAAGTAGTTTTTTTTAGTAACTGGACGACGAAAATGCAACGAAAACGCGTTATGGCCATGACGCGTTTATATTGAAACCAATTTTCAAATATTTAAGCTGTATGTAGTATGTATTTTAACTAATTATGCATTTCAAATTAAAAAAATGTTAATAATTTATTATTACTGAATACCTACATTAATAAAACATGCAATTATTATTACTTTTTTTTTTTTTTACTTCAAGCGCCTAAAGGTTACACAAACCGATATTTTTATTTAATTAACAATTTGCGACCTGCTTCATTTTACAGAATTGAAATAAAAAGATATGAATATTTTATACAGAATGCGAAATATTGTAATAAACTTCATGATTTACTATTTTAAATCCTATACGCATTACCCTTTCACAAAGGTTACCAGGAATTTTGACAGAAATATGTCAAGTAAAACTAATTACGAAACCAAGTGCGATTCGGACTCGCCTACAAAAGGTTCCATTATTTAAAAAACGGCAAAAAAAATCATGTCTGTTATATGGGAGCCCCACATAAATATTATTCATTGTTTTTTTAGTATTTTTGGTATAGCGGCAAGAGAAATACATCATCTGTGAAAATTTCAACTGTCTTACTATAACGGTTCATGAGATACAGCCTGGTGACAGACGAACAGCCAAACAAACAGGCAGACAGATAGACAGAGAGCGGTGTTTTAGTAATAGGGTTCCGTACCTAAAAGGTACTTTGGGTACACAATCCGAAAAAATTAAAGATGAGATAAAAATCTCTAACAACAGCCTAGAGTAAATAATAATTAAAATTATAAAGTGGTTAAAAATAAAGCTTTAAAAGTAGGCATTTATAATCATAAAGGCAAATTAGATAGTCTAAATCAAAAATATCTGGATTTTTTTCCATACACACAAAAGTCACTTTGAATGCAACGTGGGTATATAAAAGTAATTCATTGGTATTAGTAATGAAATACGAAAAATTGCAAACTTAAAGAATAATTTTTATCACTACCACCTTGAAAAAAAAATTTCTCCTTTTTTACTTTGTTCCGTACTCAAAGGGTAAAATGGGACCATCTTACTAAGACTCCGCTGTCTGTCTGTTTGTCTCTCTGTCTGTCTGTCCGTCTGTCACCAGGCTCTATATCATGAACCGTGATAGTTACACAGGTGAAATTTTTACAGATGATGTATTTTAGTTGCCGCTATAGCAACAAATACTAAAAAACAGAATAAAAAAATAAAGTGGCGCTCCCATACAACAAACATTACTTTATTTGCTGTTTTTATAGATAATGGTACGGTACCCTTCGTTCACGAGTCCAACTCGCACTTGGCCGGTTTTTTCTCCTTAAATACAACATATTTTAAAGAACATGAGAAATTCACCTGTTTTTTAAGTTTTTATTTTTGAACAATTTAAATTTTGTTTTATAGCTTTTATATCTCACACAGACTTAAAAACGCTAATGGATGAATATAATCATTAATTGGAAGTAAGAAAATTGCGTTAATTCACCAAGCCGTTACCGCCATATGGAAAAGAAGAACCAAATTCGCAAGCCGTTTTTAACATCACATGCCGCGGGCTACAAAATGTTCGTAGTGTTTTTGACAGAGTTCGTAGTGTTTTTAAGCTTGCGTAAAGAGTTAAAAAATACTATATCCAATAACTCAACAGTTAAAATCACGCTTAGGTGTTACATATACTTATATTTTAATAAAAAAAAAAAAATTAAAAACTTGCAAGAACTACCTTATGGCTCGGCATATTCCCGCTACGCGTCCATTTGATCACAAAACAAACAGCACCAGAACGTTATATAATACGAGGCCTTTTCACGTATAAACACGTTGGTGTTTTACCATCGACGTGAAACGCACCCGCACCCTGTCGCGGTCTAGGGGACACTGTTCTGCTTCGCGTCGCAACACGTTCGCCGACGAAAGCGCGAACGCGAACTGTGTGAAATGCGCAAGTCACAGAGCGTTAACTTGTCCACCTTCTCCTGAAATCCAAATCGTCATTTAGCTATCACCTATTTGATAGGTAGTGTGGAACTTTTTTACGATGTTATGAGTATTGGATATTTTATCGCCAAACAATAAAAGTCGGTATTACAAGATAAAGTATTTAAGAGTTATTGAAATTATTTTGAGACAAAAGGAATTATGTAGTTTATCGACAATAACAAAATCTTTCCCTTATGAGTTTCGTTGAATTAATAATCTAAGCTATTAATTTCATATTAGAACTTTGATAAACATGGAGCATAAATTAGTTATTTACACTTGTAAAAGTATACTTACATTTATAAGAATTAATTTAAATGTTTTGGAATGACTATTACCATATTATCTAAGTCTGAGATTGTTAGAATTCTGAGAAAATTCTACTTAAAATTGATTTTGAAGATAATTTAATTTTCCTGTGAGAGTTATGAAAAGTCGAGCTCTACTTTTTCTAAGCGCTACGCTCTACTTTCGTCATCTTACTCGTAAGGATGACGAAAGTTTATTTCCCGAGGGTTTTTAAGGGAATGATGAGCTATTCAGTATTTCAAGCGATGCAGTAAACAAATTAAAAACTCTGTGTGATTGCTAATGTAATGTATAGTTTTTATGGTTCCGTAGCCAAAGGGTAAAACTGAACCCCATTATTAAGACTTCGCTGTCTGTCCGTCGCTTTGTCTGTCTGTCTGTTCGTCTGTCCGTCTGTCACCAGGCTGTATCTCAAGAGCCGTGTTAGTTAGACAGTTGAAATTTCACAGATGATGTATTTCTGTTGCCGCTACAACAACAAATACTAAAAAACAATAAAAATATTTAAGTGGGGTGGGAGCCCCACCGACATTTTACAATACAGCCGACATTTTGCCGATTTTTTGCCGTCTTTACCGATAATGGTACGGAAGACTTCGTGCGCGAGTGTGACTTGTATCTTGTATCTTGTATTAACTGATGTTTTTGCTTTCAGTCCCGAGACTATTAAAGCTTCATCGGACGCAGAACCGGTGGGCTAGCCAGAACCCACGGGTTTGGACCCTCCGCTATGGGTAGGGTCGCGCATGTGCTCATGCGTGCGTTTAACTACTATGGTGTGTCATCTAAGGGCCGTCGAGGTCGCCGGTTCGGACCGAGACCCCTACGGCCGTCGACTGTGCATTTAGCTAATCGGTGGCTGGGAGCGGTGAGAACCGCCCCGGAACGCGGGTGTACCTTGTGTACGCGTTGTGTGGGTCTCGCCGTGCTCGGAGGCTAGGGCGAACTGGTGTGATTGTTGTTACACTAACTGTGGGTGTAGTGTTATCCGGCGGGACCCCCGGCGGTGGGTCCATCGTATCTAAGTCCTCTTCGTCGACCGGGTCGATGAGGACGTTTCGCGGGCGACGCTTGTTTACGTTCGCGTTTGTGTCCGGTTGGTAGTTTGCTGCGCTTACCACCAGAGGGTTGGGATGATGCTGGGCTCTATCGAAGAACCGTTTTGTCAAATCTTTAAAATGAGCGCGAATCGTCGGGAGTCTGCAATCGCTGTGCAGGTCGACGTTGCGCTGATACCATTGCGCACCGGTTGCGCGGCGGATAAACTTACTTTGAACTACTTGCAATTTGTTAATGCGCGTAGGATTTATATGTGCGAAGATCATGCAAGCGTAGGACATGATTGGCCTTACGCAAGCTTTATATAACAGTAGTTTGTGCCTTAAGGGCATTTTACTATGCTTATTCGTTAAATTGTGTAGCCGGCCGGAGACGAACGCGGCTTTATTTCGGACTTGATTGATGTGCGTAGTGAAAGTCATACGCGAGTCGAAAGTGACTCCTAAATATTTGACCGTTTTCTCCCAGGGGAGAGTTTGGCCGTATAGTGATATTTGCCCCAACTTTCTGTACTGGCGAGGACCTTTGTAACGGTGTGGCGGATGGGGGTTGGGGGTGCTACGAGTAAAGTGAATCGCCACACTTTTTTTCTGGATTAATATCGATTCTCCATTTGCGGAACCAATCGCCGAGGCGGTCGGCGGCGCTTTGGAGTCGAGTTGTTAATTGACTGAGGTTGCGATCTGAGTAAAAGAGCGCCGTGTCACCCGCGAAAAGCGCGAGATTGACGTGGGGGTCTCTAGGTATGTCGCTCGTGTAGAGCGTAAATAGCAAGGGAGAGAGGCAGGAGCCTTGTGGTACGCCGGCCGTGAGGCGGCGGCTTGTGGAGAGGGTGCCCTCGACTCGATATCGAAAAGAGCGGTTCAACAAAAAGGCCCGGATGGTGTGTACGAGCCTATCTGGCACTTTGAGTGTGTACAGCTTGTAAAGCAAGCCGTTGTGCCAGACTTTGTCGAATGCTTTTGTGACATCGAAGAAGAGAGCCCCTGTACTAATGTGTTTGGGGTGGTTAAGGCCTTTTAGGATGTGCTCCGTTAGGCGGTATAGCTGATCGGGACAAGAATGTCTAACTCGAAAGCCGAATTGGTCCGTCGGCAGAAGGCCGTTGGAAAATACGTGCTCTTTGAGCCTGTTTAACAATAGCCGCTCGTAGAGCTTCCCCAGACAACTGAGGAGGCTGATGGGACGATAGCTGGAGGGCTTATTGGCTGGTTTATTCGGCTTGCGAATGCCGATAACCGTGGCTTGCTTCCAGTCGTCCGGAAAGGAGCAACTGGAGAGAAGGGTATTGAAAATTGTCGCCAGTAAACAGATAAGCGGCCCATAGAATCTTAGCGGCCCAGGGAGAGCTTTGAGAATTTATCTTATTACTTATATTATCTGGGCCCGGGGCGGCGATTTTGGCTGGTTTAAATTCGGCTTTTTCGGAGTTTTTTAGGTCTGCTTTCAGACTGCGGGCCAACCGCCAGTAGGCGGTGTGCGATGGGTCGATGTCCTCTAGGAGAGTGTCCCACGTTGTGTGTCGGTGTTCCGATACACGATCTTTGACTTCTAGCTGAAGGCGTCGAAGTAGGGTTCGGTTCGATTCCGATCGGTATCGGTCGAAGGCGCGTTTGGCTGTATTTTTCTGTCTAATTAGCAGTCGCAGGTCGGGCGGAAAGTTGACGCGTCGGTCGCCCGACAGTTTCACCGTCCGTTCCGAGTCTGCGACTGCGGAAGTAATAGTTTCGCGGAGACTCGCTATCGCTCGATTTGCGTCATCGAACGTAGCTATCGTCTCGGGTAAGTCTACTAAGTCCTGAGGGTCCAAGTTTGACCTCAAGACGATGCCAGTCCACTACGGATTTGGTCGGAGGGACCGCGCCGGCGTTCTGGCCCAGTTTACACAGGACGGGCCTGTGGTCTGAGTCTAGTTCATGGATTGTCTCTATCGACTCGATGTCGAGCGAGACCTCCCTGAATAACATTATGTCTAGGACACTCGGTGACGCGTGCTAGTAGTTGTCCACCGTAGAATACCTAGTGGGAGTCGCGGGAGCGACTATACTGAAATTTAGGTTATCGGATAAGCTAAAGAGATGCTTTCCGTTGTTCTTTGGGATGCTGTTGATGTCCCATGAGCCGTGTTTGCAGTTTAGATCTCCTGCAATTATCACGGAAGGGCCTAAGTTAAGAAGCGTATCTAGGTCGCTTTGAAGGAGGGTTCTATTCCCCGAGAGTTAGGCTGAGACTAGTACAAGCGGCCTGTGGCCGGTGAGCGCTAACCTACACGCGGATGCCTCTATTTGACTTAGCTCTGGAATGTCGAGCGGGCAACAGTGCAAGGACCATTTATTATAAATTAGTGTGCCTCCCAGATGGTTTGCTAACCGGTCGTGGCGGACAATATTGTAATTTGCGATTCTGGGATCGCGTACGCTAGGTTTCAAGAATGTCTCTTGCACTAGGAAAATATCTACGTTATAATCGCGAAGGAATTCCGCGATTTCATCCCTTTGACCCTTTATGCCGTTTGCGTTGAAATACGAAACAACCAGAGCCCGAGGTTTTGTTCTACCTGCGGTTGTACTTCCCATTAAGGTGTTTTTATGGGTCTAATTAACGACGCGAAGGAGCGCGGTTTTATTGCGCGGACTATTGTTCTTTACGGTTGGCTCGTAAAAGCCCAAAGGGCTTCCACAAGCGTTTTGTGTTGGCTAATTGCCCTAAGACGCTCGTGGCCAGATGTGGCGGCCGCTATTTTAGCGGACAATACGGCGAGTTCCTGCCTATTAATTCTATCTAATAAGCTGCAGATGTTAGCTATTTGCGCGAAGGGGTCGTCCTTGTTTTCCGCGAAAACTGACGGAATTGGCTGCACCTGCGGCCGCGGCGCCGTTTGAGAGGCTGGCAGCTGTTGCGCGATCGGTCGTGAGGCGACCGAGATTACCGGCGCGGTTACCTGCGCGGCCACCTGGGGTTTCGCCCAGGCGTTAATGACGGGTACGGGCGCGGGAATGTATTTAACGGGCGCGTGTTTGGGCAACGTAGACTTCGCGGGAGATTTTCTCGCGGGAGTTTTTGGGGCCTTAGCGCAGCCTCTATAACTAGCCGGATGGCCGGTAGTGTGGCAATTTACGCAGTCCGGTGGATCTGCGCAATCTTTCGGCCTCGTGCACTCGGTTGTGCCGTGGTCACTGGTGCATTTGACGCACCTTGGGTGAGCGAAGCAGTTATTGGCCGTGTGGCCAAAATGTTGACAGTTGTGGCACTGTGCCACAACACCTGATTTACGTGGGGGATCGATGACTAAGTCACTGAGCCCACAGACCCTCTTAAGGTTGAAAATGGCCTTACCTTCCGGGGTAGGGTCAAGTTCCACCATGATCATGTCCATAGGGACACGGGTGC